AGCTAAAGAGGAATATGCATGGGCCACATGTACCTCCCCCTCACGCAGTAACATAGGCACTAAGGACACACAGGCTCACATGCACACAAGAGACACGCGCCTACACTTACCAACACACAAGCATATACACACACTGCACATGCCCAGCATTCCCACAGATCCCTCAGGTACAAACACAGACGCATAAGTGCCCAGATACCAGTGTGCATCCACATAGAGCTTGCACATCTCTGCAGGGGCAGTGACCTTTGGCGTGCATTGATCTCCTCAAGCTTGTACACTGAACCAGGGCCCCAGAGCTCACTGAAACGCAGCCCCTCCACCCCCAGCTGCTCTGCTACTTGTTATTGCCAAAGACTTCCTCAGGCACATCCCCATCACCTCTAGAGTGCCACCCGCCAGAGATGGCTGGGGTTTGGGGCCATGATGACTCTTTATTATGGGGCCATCTTTACAGCACATATCCTATGGCCAGGACCCCCTCATCTTCCCACATTCCACCCATTAGGAAGCTGGGTATCTCCCTCTCCTGTCCGAGTCACTTCCTCACTGGATGGTGGCCCTGGGCTGAAAACTGACAAGTGACGATAGTTTGTGGATGAAGCCCCCTTGTGGGAAGACAGGGGAGAGGACAGGTTGTGCTCTGAGCCTTTCTGCGCTTGGATCTGTTTTCCTATTGGGCATATATTGCAATTAAAAAAAAAAAAAAAGAAACAAAAACAAAAAACACCAGTATAGGATAGGAATGAGGAAATCTTTTTCTAGCCCCACACCGCCACTGACAAGCTGTATGATCTTGGGCAAATTGATCTCTTGCTGAGCCTCAGTTTCCCCATCTGTGAAATAGTCTCTGAGTTTCAACCCTGCTTTAAGTGTCAGGAATTATTCCTAAGCAAATCAAGCTTATTTGGAATGAAACTCGTTATAAGAGGAAAACTCATTATAATGGCAACTAACCCATGTCCATGTTTTTTTTTGTTATTTGCTACACGTTATTTTCAAAACTGCTTTCTTGACCCTGTTTTAAGGCATGCCCAGTTCCTCAAAGGTTTAGGCCAGATCTTCCCACACTGGACTAGAGGCTCTCTGCTGGGGGACTATGTCTCCCCCACCAAACTTCATGAACAGGTGCAAAGCACTCAAGACTTTCTTGGAAAAGCAAGAGTCAGAGTGGAGTCCGGATGGACCCCAAGAAAGGAAACCTTGCAGTCTCTGTCAGCCACCTGCTGAGCCTCAAGCCCACAGCTACCACTCTTCTGACCCTGCCAATTCCTCTCAATTATGCACAACTTCTTATTTCTCTCCACTTCTTCCCCAGTGATCTAGTTGCCCAGGTCCCACCTCTCCTGAATCCCTCCAGTCCACCCCTCCCTGCCAGAACCCCATCCCTGCCTCGGTCTTTCCTGCTTCTGCACTCACCAGCCCCTGGGCCAAGGACAGACAACAGCAACAGCAGCAGTAAGGCTGACGGCAGCTGGAGCCCCGACCTGAGTCGAGGCTGGGAGAGGGGCAGGGTATGAAAGAGAGGGCTGGGTAGTGGGAGAGACCTGGGTAAACACAGAGATGAGGGCAAAGACTGGGATAAAGAGTTGGGCTGGGCTGGGCACTGGGACTTATGCAAGGGTAGGGGATGTGATGGAAGGAAGGACTGTGATGGGGACTGGAGGAGGGGCAGGGGTTGAGCCCCGAGCTTAAGCAAATTTTGAGAATGGGTCTGGGACAAGGGCTGGGCTGGGATTTGGGAAAGGAGGTGAAACAGGGGCAGACGCTGGGATGGGGGCCAGGCCAAGGACTGGCGTGGGGGCCTGAGCTGGGCCCCGGATCTGGGCATTCGCTGGGACCCAGGCCGTAGCTGGAACCTATGTGGAAAGCGGGGCGAGGGCGGGGTCGGGGGCCAAGGCCCGAATCGGGATAGGAAAAGGGGCCGGGACAAGGACTGGGCCATGGCCCGGGGCAGGAGCGGGGCCGGACAGGCCAGCGCGGGCGCTCGCAGAGCTGACCCGCGGCTCCGCTCCCACCCCCGGGGGGTGACCACCAGTGTCCTCGCGGGCCCGGGGCCGGGGTCGAGCCTGCCGGGGCCAGGCCGGGGACCTGGGTAGGAGTTCAGGTCCGGGCGACTCCGGGCTGCGCTGGACAGGCGATAACCAGGCCCCGCGGCGGCGGCCTCAGCCTGACGTCGTATGACGCTCCGCCCCCCGATTAGCTCGATTGGTCCTTCTCACTAAAGCCCGCCCCCGGCCCTATTCTACTGGTCTCTAACTTGGCCCTCCTGGGCTCGACGACAGACTCCGCCCTAGCTCCAGCTACCAGAGTCCCCGCCTTTCTCTCCCCAACCGCGGAGCCCAGATGCGCCCATCAGATTCTCACAGCCCCCACTGACCACCCCACAGACATCTCCTAGGAACCCTACAGAGGGCTTCATAAACCCAGACACCCACGGACGTCCCCACAGATATCTGCAGACCCTACCCAGAGACCGTCACAGAGTCTCAGAAAGATCCCGTAAAACCGCTCACAGAGATCCGGCAAAACCCCACTAAAAGAAATGACCCGGGCTTCCCTGGCGGCGCAGTGGTTGAGAGTCCGCCTGCCGATGCAGCGGTCACGGGTTCGTGCCCCGGTCTTCCACATGCCGCGGAGCGGCTGGGGCCCTGAGGCATGTCCGCTGAGCCTGC